GAGGAAGTGCACGACGTACGACGCTTTTCTATGGCACGAGGACTCGACGATGCATGAAACTCTTATGAAAGAATGAAAACGAAAGTCGATCGAGAAGAAAGGCGTACATCCTGTGGCATAAAATGCTGCTCGTCGTCTCTTGTCTCTTCACGAGGCGGCAGCGCCCAAACCTTGAACTCCCGACGCCACGATGCGGCTGGACCCGCAATAACCACGCTGCCGTGACCACGCAACCACGCACATACGCGCAACTTCGGCACTTACGAGTGCGCGTATAACTAACTCGAAGCGAATCGAGGAACGCATTAAAGAGGAGCGAGCGTCATTCCTTGTCCCCTGAACACCGGGAAAGCGTTAATTACGACCTCACGTCTTGACATGTTTGGTATAGGGACAACCACTCAACTGCTCGTTGGCTTTTGTCGCGCGGAGAATTGGTTATATGTACTTTTTGCGAGTGTTCATTTTGTTTCCGGAAACGTAAGGTGTGCAGTCATGAAAAGCTATCATTCGCGCCTCACGAGAAACCGATGTTAAGTGTTATGTTGGGACAATCCTCCTTACTAGGCAGCTATCAAGCCTACCAAACTAAATTATGCCGCGCCACCAGAATACCCGATGACACGTATACCGATTTTGAGCCATCCAGAAAGGCCGTGACGAGGCGGTCAGCGCTAGCCTACCCGTGCCAACGTGGGAGGAGTCCACTGCGCACTTGTCGCGTCTCGCAAGGATCTGAATAATGTTTGACCAACCGACCACTTTCGAAGGAAATGCGGAATCTGTAAATTGTGCGGCCTTTCGAGTGCACGTATGTATGTATGTATGTATGTATGTATGTATGTATGTATGTATGTATGTATGCACGCACGCACGCAAGTACGTACGTACGTACGTACGTATGTATGCACGTATGTATGTATGTATGTATGTATGTATGTATGTATGTATGTATGTATGTATGTATGTATGTATGTATGTATGTATGTATGTATGTGCGTATGTGTTATGTATGTATGTATGTATGTATGTATGTATGTATGTATGTATGTATGTATGTATGTATGTATGTATGTATGTATGTATGTGTGTATGTATGTATGTATGTATGTATGTATGTATGTATGTATGTATGTATGTATCTAGAAGCTGCCCTTCACGTCCTCGGCATCGGCTCATCGGTGAGTGCACGTTCTTAACTCGGCGTTTCTAAATCGCATTGCAGGTTTGCTCGCCGCCTGTTGCTGGCCGCCTTCGTTGCCGCATCTTGTTTTTCACTGAGTGGGACGTTTCATTTGATAAACATTCCATTCATTCGATAAGTAAACTACTTATTTATAGGCATCTAAGCACAAGTCTAGTGTTGTCATCTGTCTACCACTGCTGTACCTTCTCGTCACGCCTCACATACTCGTATTTGTAGCGCTCTGCTCAACGCGTGTTCACAAAACAGTAAAAACTACAACGCGAACAATAACGACTACAGAAAAAAAAACCACTTGTCCTGTTGCGCAACAGCGACGCGTCCTCTGCAGCGCCCTCCGTGCAGGAAACCATCACCATTACCCTGTCTGCATATGGTCTCACCGCCGCACGTGCGGGAGTTCTCCCGAGGTCGCTCGCCCAGTTTTCCTTCTGTGGTTATGCGCGTGCCGTACTCGAACCGTGGCTGCGTCTCGTGCCACGCCCCTGAAATTCGCGGCCAGCCCTCTTGCGTCGTCTCCGCGTAACGCATTGGCGTGACACACGTGACGACACGACCCGCCCGTGTGCCCTTGGACAGCGGTTTGTATACGACGACAACGACGACATCGCACAGGAAAGAAACACTGGGTGTATCATCTGGCGGACCCGTTTCGCGGTTTACGTCGCAGTGGCCATTCTTTTCTTTTGAAGCCTTCATGCCTTACATCAGGCAACTAAAGAAGGAGTCGAAGTTTTTTTTTTTTTTACTGGCAAGGAAGGGAAACGGCGGAGTGATTCTCTAATTCGGGACCCCTACGACTCGAACGGTGGCCCATGCTTGCCGGATGAGTGCCTGGCAGACCTCGGGCATGCCTTCGCGAAGGTCGCCTTCCCACTGCTCTGAGGTGCGGAAGAAATGAAGAAGGTGGAGGAGGCGAGGGTTTGGCGTATGCGTTCGTTCTTGGTCAGGGAGGATACCATTGTCCAGACAAATGCTCTGTTCGTAGTCATCTGCAGTATCATGAGGCTTCGTATGTATTTCATGTGAATATGCTTGGTGGTTTCTAACTGCACCAAAATATTTAGAGGCGAGTTCCAAAGGGAGTGTGCCTATAACCTTGTACTGCACGTCTTGCTTAACGTTTTACAGTGGCACATGCCGTACACACCTTTTCCCTAATCGCATAGTACGTGGCAACCTCTCACATTCATCGACGTTCACCCATGTGCCCGTTTGTGCTTGAGAAAACTAAAAAAAAGAAATTATGCTGGAGCTCAATTGCCACCTGGAATAGCTGATTAACAGTCAAAATGAGAAGCAATGAAAAAAAGCTGCGGAAATTTGCCTGGATACCATTCATAGCAGAATAGAGACTGATTCGTTCCATCTGAGAGTTTCATTTACCTCATTGTCTTAAATATGCGTGCTTTTTTTAAGCCTTAAAATATTTTATGTGCATTATTACCTACAGTCCTCTGCGGTTTGTTTACCTCGTAATGCCGTGAAATTTCTGCGATACAAACGAAAAATAAACTACGACATAACCACCGATTCCCCAGCGCATTTATTTCAGGCAAACAACCGCAATTTGAGCCGAATTCCTTGGGCGATATTGTTACGGCCATTACTGCAGTCATTCAATTACAGTGCTTTATTTTCACCTCTCGCGTAGAACATTCCGCACCGTTACATTGCGGGGAACAGTTCCTCTGGTTACTAGCAGTGCAGAGTATGAATACAATACCCACGCGTCGGAATTCCCTAAACGTGGAAGGCTCGCTTATAATTGAAGCTTTTGACTCCTTCGTCCTTACGACGAATCATCGTTACGTCGGAGAAACAACTAGTAAGACTTCCTCGTCTGGTAGGCAACCAACACACGCCAGGGGTAGCGACCTGAGACAATCATCGTTGTGTACTTGCTCGAAGAAAAAAAAAAGGTAGTGCAAGCAACAACTGACTTTTGTTGTTTGTAAATACCACGCTCGTAAACACATGTGGATTCTGTTACCTCCCTTCCTAGTTATTCGTTTCTACCACCCATCTTCTTATCATTTCATCTCATTCTGCATGTACAGTAGAAAAAGCGAGCGCCTTTTCCCAAAATATGGCAGGAATATCTGCGTCTAACAGGGAAAAAAGTCTCTCTCACCCCCCCCCCCTTTTTTTTTCAAAGCAATCCGTGAATAGATTTGCTTTGCGAAACACTGCTGCTTTCATGGCCAACGCGATGCGCAAGACCAACGAAGACATTTGCTAATCACATTATAGATAACAGCGGCGAGAAGAGTTTTCTCCTGCATGTTAGCAGATAAAAGATAGCAGAGAATGTGTACGTTCTCACTAATATATGCCGGCCCACGCTATATTCTTAATCCTATCGCTGCACTACTTTCTGCTCCACGGGAACATCGGTTTTATTCGCGAACCTCATTCAGTCATAATTTTTCTTATTTCGACGTTTGATTTCCTTCCGGCGATATGGGGTTTCGCTCCCGAAGCCACGCAAAGGGGGTCAGTGCATGGTCTCACGTACGGGCTTCTTTCACGTAAGGGGGCCGCGGGCCCGCGGCAGGTCGCGCGTGTTTTGCGCAACGCTGACATTGCAATCGCAGAGACCGTGCAAGCATCACTACAGAGGCGTAGCCACATTTTTTGTTTCCCTTTTTTTCGAGGAGGGGGGGGGGGGGGGATTCAAATATACTTTATATATTATAGTGCGTGTTTTTGTATTTGTGCGTGTATGCACGCTAAATTAAAATTTTTCCGGTGACGGGGCTTTGAGCCCCTCCAACTCCTCCCTCCCTTGGCTACGCCAACTGCATCACCAAACGCGTTAGCTCGGAGATACACATGGAACGCGTAAGTATAGCAGCTACAAATAAAATGGTAATTATCTTCAACAGCTTTGGATGTGCCCGTCTGTAATATACGACCCACTCTCTACGTGAAAGCTTGCCCAAGGCTGCGTAAACGCTGCCTGATAGACACAGCTTAGGTTTTAAGCCCCGGTTTGAAACTCTTACTCTCCGTAAGTCTTTGATGCACGCGTTGTGATAAGCATGAGAACTCTGGTAGAGTGACTTGTTGGGTGAGTTGGTTCGTTCTTACGGTAACTTTTAGCGCGAAATAAACACTAGTGAGGCTTCTCGTGTTTATTTCGCGCTAAAAGCTACCGTTAGCCTGCATTAGAACTCCGGAGCGGCCGTGATAAGAACAAAGAACATTTCATGGGTGGTGCTCGGGTGAAGTAGCTAATGGTCGGCACTTCATCCAAGGCTACATCCACTTTCGGCAGGTAACTTTCGTACCCGAGCTTTGTTTTTGTTTTTTTTTTTTTGCAAAGCTTACATGGCGCGTGTCCTTATAGCTTAGAACGCGGATAAGTAGAGAGGTGTGACACAACAAAACGTGGACACAACATAGGAGAACACGTTGTCTTATTCTCTTGTGCCTACATTTGCACGTGTTGCCTTGTTCTAAAGAAGAAGACGCCAAGCGTGTCGTCCAAACATTCATCTTATATTCAAAGCTAACTCAGCTGCTAAGTAGTTGCACGAGCTTGTTTGCCGGATGAGTTGTTACGTGGCCGAGGGGGAAATCGGCTGCCCATCACAACAACCGTCATCGACTCTTTATTTCCTCGAATTCGCCCCCCCCCCCCCCCCCCCCCCAAGACACCGATTGCCCGCCTTGTCGGTCGGTCTGCATGCTGGCCGGGCGGCGGCGGCTTGCGTAATCCGTCCCTCGCTGCGAACGTCGACCAGGTGCGAGAAGCGTCGAAGGCGACCGGAAAGTGGAGAAAGAGGTTGCCGGGTCTCCGCCGGTCGGACGGTAGAACCCTTGCCCCTTCACTACCCGCGCACTGCGGCTGCCGGGATCCAGTCGCGTTCGGAGCCTCTGTCTGGCTTTGTTCCAACACGAGTGACGTCCGCCCGAGGTCCGAACAACGCTCCATCGACGTGGTGACTCCGTGATTTCCTTCCTTCCTGTCCCCCCACCCCCCGCTTCCTGTGGTGCCTTTGGAGTTCTGCAACGTTCATCGGTGGCCTAAGCATCAAACATCGCAGACAGCTGCACGATAGGTGTGCCCGCGCGACAGGAGACTTCGATCGACTCGGCAACAGCCATCAACCTTTTGATCTGGCCAAGCATTCGCTAATTGTGCGCACGCATCACCTTCGGCTCATCTGCAAAGTGAGCAAAACCTCTAAAGGTACTTCTGAATAAGTGCTTCAACGCGATATTCTTATAGTTGAACTCTCATAGGGGTACTCTCAGGGTTTCGAGGACAAATCAGTTGCAGACCAATAAAAGTATAGGTTGAGAACGCTGTTTGCCGTAAAGCATCAATGCAAGCAAGCTGAAGTATAGGATAGACGACGGAAATGTTTTAGAGATCCAGAAAGTGTATGACCAAGTTTCGAAGGCGTAGAACAGGTTTTCATCAAACCAGTTGCTACGTTAACAACTTGGAGTCGGCTTGTTCGAAACATTTCTTATGAAATCGACGAGCATAGTACCCCGACCAACCGCTGAATTTAGAAGTCGTGCTCTTTTCTCGGCCTTTTGTGCTTGAAAGGCAGCGTAAAAGAGACCATCATTCGTACCCCCGGCCTAAACATCGCGAAAGAATACGTCCGGATCTTATCCAAGGAGAGACTGAGGCTTGTGCATCTTCCACTGATTGGCTGAAGACCCGCTCAAGCTCCGGACTTAAGGTTACGACATCTCCTTCGGAACATTTCCACCTATGGAGACTGATTTGTGAGTAGTAACATTTACTCTTATCTACAGTAGCCTATAGATGTTCATATGTTTGGAAGCGGAACCCTTGCGCGCTGGCATGCATATGTACTTATAGCATAATTTTTAGTTAGACACGACTTCTTGCTATAATTATGCATTTAAGTACCAAATGCACAACAGTCTTCCTGTGCTGACTAGAGCAATATATTTTTTGGGAGCTTATCTCCACAGGGTGTCCATTTTGTCAAAGCGTTTGTTTTTCCCCCTTGCGGGTGATCGTGTCGTTCTGGCACCGTCAACAAATATTCAAGAGGCGATTTAAGTTAAAAATGTGGGAGTGTTCATTCTGCCATAGCTGTCGTATATATAGTAAATGGTAGTTCCATTTTCCGAGTGCTAATGTAACTGTCCAGAATATAGATGGATGAGTGGGAGACGGGAAGATTAATTGGGCATTGCTCTATGAGGCTTCTGACTTTCGTTTCTCGAGCAGTGGCGATGACGGTTGTTTTTGCGAAATTCGGCTAAAGAGCTACGATACACCAGCGTTGGGATCCCATGTTCACTAAGCTGCCGTGGTACCACCAAATCCGCCAATACCGGCAAAATATGTGCAGCGGGCAGCTGCAAGAATTTGTAAAGAGTGCAAAACCAATTCGTGCCCTTCATTTCAGCGGACTGCATATGTGATTTTTTTTTTTTTTGGCACGTACATTCGCCATCCGCTTTGAGCGTTGATCTGAACACAAATAGGCATACTTGAGCGACTCAATGTCTTTTAACTAATGTCGTCTGTAAGCTAACGAGGGATTGGTATGGCTGACTTGGTGACATCGACAGCCACGCTTAGGCGCAGCATTTGCAGGCACCAACGTAGCCTGCAGCAGGTTCATGTGCACTACGGCTGTACAAACGCTATTCACAATTGATTTATAGGCGAGTGTATTCGCACTCAGTTGCCCAGGAAGCGTTTCCACAAGGTGGCGGGTACATGCATATTCAGAGCCAACCGCATGGTTTTGCGATGAAAACAACGTGTACATGCAACGATAATGACGACATAAGAACGGCAACATGGCGACATCAGCGGTGACATAAAAAAAACGTTGTTAGCGACGTCTCATCAAAACGTATAGGACAGATGTCCACAGATGTTCATAACATGCAACTCATTTAAAAAAATAAAGAGAGGCTAAGCACTCAAGGTTAAATCAAAATAAGCCGTTTCCACGTTTCCTCCAGCTGTAATTTCCCGGCCACGTCGCCTTTGCTAGAAAACGGGCGTGGCAACGTTCTATACGCGCATTAATTATTTCTTGGATATAACAACTTTACCAGTACTTAGGAAAACGAGTTGTGGTCGTCGTCACTGGTGCGAAGGCTCCAATATAAAGGCACAGAGCAACAAAGTAAGAACAAGATTTTCCTACTCTCATGTATGTATGACCAAAGTCAGTACTGGGTCTTCTCAATGCACTGAAACCGGCTGTGTAGACCACTTCCTAAGATCATTTGAGCACTCATTTCGGAAAGAGACATGTTCACAGGAGAAGTGCTCCCAGAAGGGCAACATATATTGCGAAATTAAGATCCTCTCGTTTTCCCCATATTTCTGTGAGAGGCTATACATCTAAGTAAATGACGATGAACCGAGACGTGGGAAAATATGGCGGGGATGTTGGTGACGTCACTGCAGGTGAGGCTATAGCCTGGCAGAGCTGAACACCATATTCTCCACCTGACCGTCTCTATTTACCAAGCCCGTAGTCAGGGTGGAATCCCCCTCCTCCCGAAGTTCGGATGTTTGGGGGTGAACCTTTTACTGAGAATGCGTAATAAAAATAGGCTTTTTTAGAGCTTTCAAGAAGTGACCTCCCCTCTCCCACGAAACAAATCCTATCTACGGGCCTGCTATCCGAACCACGTCAATGAAGTCGCCATGAATAACTTCATCCAGTGCCCCCCGCATAAATGTCAGGTGAACGCAAAGCGTTCGCAGGTGGGCTATCCGCGCTCCGTCTCGAAAATCATCGGTTCAAAGAGCACGCCCCAAACGTTCTCTCCCTGGTCCTGGGCGAAAACCTTCGTGTCTCAGGACCGAGCTAGTACGAGAAGGAGGGTTTTATACCGACCACTTTATTGCACTAAGTTAACGACTGAGAAGCGGCATCATTGACTGGGATTCACGAGCTCAGGCAGAGCGTGTTTCTGGCTGTCTGTAAGCCCGTTTTTAGTAACATCGCCACCCACACCTCAGTCATTTCTCGAAGCAAAATGCTGGCCTTCAGACAAATACCTTCAGACGGAGCATTTCCTTAAGGCGTTGTTGTTATTCGTTGTCGACCCCTTTCCTGCTGTTTAGAGTCGCGCGTGACGCGAGGCGCACGGCTCATCGGCAACGTAACAACTTCTTTTTTTTTTTCGTGCCTTCAACCGAAGAGAGCTTACGTGATTTTTCCTTCCTTTGCGACCCATCTGATTCTCCGGAGAAAAGTCACCGTGGCCTTTCACTATACTCTCCCGTTGCACCGATTGGAGCGACACACACGAAGAATTTCCTCACTTGGCCGCTCACTCAGCCATGTAGTGATTGCAGCAGCCTCGTCAGATAAATGCTCTTCATTCACACACTTGTAGCACGAAGCTACAACGAAACAAAAAGTTCTTTTTTTGTGAAAGAAAGCTTCGCAGTTGAAGGAACGTCCCTCCTAGTAATGATGAACCTTCGCAGTTTCATAGGCGACTGTCATAATAGCAGCCACCTATGAATCTAGTTATGCCGGTTTTTATTATATGTTAAGTGCAATATAGAATGTTTTAAAGTTCCCCTGTGACCCTTGGGGAGCAGTTCTTCAGGCCGATTGCCAGGATCCCAAGTTATGCGTTCCGGGGCTGGATCAGCGGCAGTCCGTCCTGCAATATGACTAGTTAATGGGGACACCTTCTGCAAACTAATGAGCGAGGCTGCCCTCTTCAACTGCTTCTCGCGCGGAGTCTCAACGGACTTTGATGAGACGCGCGGGAGTCGGGCCCTTGGAACGTCGACCATGTATAGCAGGGTCATGCTTTGGCCACCTAAACTACTTTTTTTTTCTAGAATAAATGTTTCCATTCCTCCCCCATTCTCTCCTGATTCTCGCTCAAACTGACGACTTTTATTGTTTATAGTCATAAATCTTAAATTTTCGCGCATGAAGGACGCTTATTTCCCTTTCGCAACCAATGAAGGTGACACCGTAATATCTGTGAAGCGATCTCTTCAAAGCTATTGCTTTCTTAGTGCACCCTTTCTATCCCAACAATTCTAACCTGTGCGAAGTGGCGGTAAAGCAAAGAGAGTGCGCTCGGGTAGCTTAGCTGGCCCTCGATGAAACTGTCACCATTTCCAGCGTGCTATACTCCCATAGTTCATCGCACAGTCTCTCCCTGAATCGCACGTCATTTCTTTGTGAGCGAGAGTTCATGGTGGCGGTGCAAACACGAGTTAATCACGCGTGGTGCTGGATTGTGCAAAGTGGAACGTATCCCACTGTACCAACTAGCTCGCATCCCTAGATGCGCCTTTGTCTCCTGTGTACGGCTGATCTGACGACGTACTTCAATCGCTAACGCACCGCATCAGCAACAAGTAAAAGTGCTTCAGGCGAGGCCCCTGCGCCCATGCACAGCGCGTCCACCTTTCTACGTTTCTACGAGTACGCTCTATGTAAACTTATTGTGTAAAAGCCCCATATCGAGCGTGCTGCGAGTGTTTCTATGCCTGCTTAAGCGGACAAGCTAGAAACTACGCTGCAGTTTGTCTTCTTGTCTCTGCCGCGATGATTATCGAAGGTCTCAGCTACTTATCCGGCTAGCAGGCCTTTTGTGGTTACTTAACTGCCGGTACTGTACTTCGTTTTGCAATGAACTTCATACGATATTAATTCATATGCGGGGCTTAATGTCCCAAAACCACCATATGATTATGAGAGACGCCGTAGTGGAGGGCTCAAGAAATTTCGACCACCTGAGGTTCTTTAACGTGCACCCGAAATCTGAGCACACGGGCCTTCAGCATTTTCGCCTCCGTAGAAAATGCATCCGCCGCAGCCGGGATTCGATCCCGCGACCTGCGGGTCAGCGGACCCAGTACCTTAGCCACACCACGGACGTAGCTTCTGTAGGTGACTTAACTGCCTGCACGTGTACGTTCGTTTTGCAATGTAGCTTCATATGAGGCAACGATCATACCCGTGAGGTTCGCGCTGTCTAGCTCTCCCTCGTCAAAAAGGGGTGGGGGTGGGGGGTGGCAACGCTTTGACGGAGGACACACATGGTACGGCACGTGGAGGAAGAAATGAATTCTTTCCTAGGCAAGCGACCTTTCTGTAAATCCATTTGTATTTGCTTTTTTTCTTCTCGCAGTATCGGTCCCAACATGTGGCATATATGAGAAACAGCTTATTGACCAAGCTGTCGCAGAGAATGTTTTGTTCGTGGTAGTCCTTAGTCCATGGAGCGCCTGTACACGCTGCGCAGCGGTAGCTTACCTATATTCACCGTGGGTGCATCTGATATAGCTATAGCACAGGTTTGCTAGGGTGATTAGGCATTGGATCTATCCTGTTCGGCTTTCATCGCGCTGTGCGGTGATTTCTTTTCTCACTCTTCTGACCATTCATGTACTGTATGAGGACTGGTCCCGTCATGTAATCACATTCCTGGTTGGCTGACGCCCTAATGTTTCATTCTCTAATACTTACACATTCCTTTTTCCCCTTCTCGAGTACAGGGTAGCAAACCGGAGTCTTGTTCTGGTTAACTCCCCTGTCTTCCCATTAACTTTCTCTTTCTCTCTCTTTCTCTGCAATACAGTCAATCGATCTTTTTTTTTATTCCCTGGGAACTGCTCCCGTGCATGCTTCCCGTATTCTTAATCGACAGATGATTCCATTTTGTCCCCGTGTTTAAGTGTTGCTCTTTGATTGTGTTCCCAGGAGCGCACATGCAATCCAGCAAGGACAGTTTATAGGCTCTGA